ACCCTAAAAGAACATGGATTGATGATGTTAAAGAGCTTGTAGAAGTACTGTTAGAATAAATCAGGCAACATCTAAATCATTCAGAGTAACATCATGAAGTAAGACAGGGATGTGTCTTATCACCAACACACCATGAATTTACAACATCTGACATCCAAGAATGAAGAATGTAACTTAAATAATATGAGAATCAACATTAAAAAAGACAGAAGTAATGTCAATAGGAAGAAAGAAGCAGATTCAAATGTTGCATTAAAGCATACATATATTAAATAGGTATCTGAGTTTAAATATCTTGGAACAACATTCACTGAAGATGGTAAATTGGATGAAAAAATGTACATCCAATGCAGTAAAGCTGGCCAAGTATTGGGACAGCTAGCCCTACTCTTACAGCATAAGGCAATCCCAATCAGCACAAAGACATCTCGAACAAAGCATATTCATTCCCATCCTATGCTACAAGTGCCAGACGTGGTCACTCAAAACAAAACATACAAGAAAATTAGTAACCATGGAAAGGAGGTGTCGGGGAAAGGCTGTAGGAGTGACTAGAAAAGATAAAATCAGGAATGAGGTCATTCAAGATAAAGTCGGCACAGAACCAACTTTGAACATACACAGACAGCAAATCAAATGGTTTGCTCACTTGGAGAGTATGCCTTCTGATGCTATCCCATACAAGGCATATACCAGAAGAGAAGAGGGACATAGGGAAGAGTTAGACCAAGAACAAGATGGGAAGATGCAATCAGAGAAACTGTACAACACCTTATATCTCTCTCGACACCCGAAGCAGCCAGAACAGCATGAAGCAGGACCTTATATCTCTCTCGACACCCGAAGCAGCCAGAACAGCATGAAGCAGGACCTTATATCTCTCTCGACACCCGAAGCAGCCAGAACAGCATGAAGCAGGACCTTATATCTCCCTTGACACCCGAAGCAGCCAGAACAGCATGAAGCAGGACCTTATATCTCCCTTGACACCCGAAGCGGTAATAGGGTGTAAATAAGAAGAAAGAGCTTTTACATTGACATGGGATGACAATAGTTAGTTATTGCTGCCCATCAAGAAATGGTTTGCCATCAGTTCCTCCCCACGGCAGAAGTGGAAATTGATGATCATCGTTGCCATCAGTGTTGTAACATCAACAATGTATAATATTATGAGAAGACCAAGAATGTACAAACATTCTTATTTTTTGTTTATTTTGCAGCTTCATTACGTACAGATCGTGTCGTCACCTGGACGGGAAACATGCTGTGTTTGGAAAGTATGTCACTGGCTTTTTTATTTCAGTAAATCACACGAGTAATTCAACTATGTAATTGATGATTATGCCAGTACGCAATGTATGTAACATGGTGCTGCTCAACAATCTAGCATTGTTACCATGTAGCCAGGGTAGCCACAGTAACATGGTGCTGCTCAGCAATCTAGCATCGTTACCATGTAGCCAGGGTAGCCACAGTAACATGGTGCTGCTCAGCAATCTAGCATTGTTACCATGTAGCCAGGGTAGCCACAGTAACATGGTGCTGCTCAGCAATCTAGCATCGTTACCATGTAGCCAGGGTAGCCACAGTAACATGGTGCTGCTCAGCAATCTAGCATTGTTACCATGTAGCCAGGGTAGCCACAGTAACATGGTGCTGCTCAGCAATCTAGCATTGTTACCATGTAGCCAGGGTAGCCACAGTAACATGCACGCTTGCCTACCAGTCCAAAGGTTTTGACCTCGAGTTTGAATTGAGCCAGCTTGTTATAACTGGCCTTGACTCCCAGGTCGACCCCTCTTAAATGGACCAGGAATTGACCTAGGAAGTAAAGGTGGCCATATCACACATCAAGCGCTGGTTTGTCTGTGAGAATATGGTCCAGTAGCTTACTTCTTTCTCATGCATCCTGGAAGCATAAGAATGTTTCACTACTTTGACCAAACACGCAGCAAGTCTATTCTCATCACAATATACGTCTAGCCCTATATGCCTAAAGAGGATCTTTTTTTAAAAATAACTTGTGTCCTATCATGACCCACTGAAAATATCTTGTGTCCAATCATGACCCACTGAAAATATCTTGTGTCCCATCATGACCCACTGAAAATATCTTGTTTCCCATCATGACCCACTGAAAATAACTGGTGTCCCATCATGACCCACTGAAAATATCTTGTGTCCCATCATGACCCACTGAAAATATCTTGTGCAAGTTTGTTTTTGGTACCTAGAATATCTCAGCATACTATGCCCATGTTTCATCTTCGTGTTGACTGAAATCTGCCTTTTTCACAGAATCATGTCTTACACTTTTGTGTTTTCTCTAAGTCATGTGACATTCACTATGGCAAAAGTATGTTTTTTTTCCAAGACAATTCTATATATCTATGGTTCTTGGCTTGTGGAGTGCCAGTCTATGCTTCCCCTTCTTCCTTTTGTCAGTGTGTCCGTTCGAAAGCCTAGATTGTCTTCTGTAGTGTTTGTGAAGTGATTCACTGGGGCTGGCTGAACAGTTAAGACCACTGGGTACCCGTGTGGGAGAACCAGGTTCGAATTCTCTGCCAGTTTATGAGTTCTCTCCGGGGCACAGATAAAATCCTTACCATAGTGACGGCATTAGCCATGCGATCCTAAATCCTCAGGCTGAGAGATAACCCCCTACCTACACCGCAAAACATGGTAAATATAGTCAGATAACAGGATATACCATTTAGTTAAATATACATCATTCACCAAGGGGGTCGTGGGTTCATTAACAGAGCTGGGTTTGGTTCATGGGTGCAGTCGTTTGAGAGAGTTATAGATTTCATGCGTTCTGTTATGCTCACAGCAATTGCCCACATTGGATCAAACCCAGAGCAGTGAAGTTTTCTCAGCTTTCACTATCATTTTCAAGAGACATCGATCAAGAATTTATCATTGAGTCAGTTATCCACCTCTCAGCACATTTAGTCCAACTATATATTACCTAAAGATACACCCTTAAGGCAGATCTGTGGTTGTTGGTTACAAGTTGTGATTACATAATTTCAGAGTTGTGGGAGGACTGAAAACTCTGGACCTGATGGAAGCAGTGGAGGTAGACAAGAAAGACAAACCAAAGGTAAATGGTGTTGTTCTGTGACATTTCTCTTCTGCCTAGAATCTGTGCCAAGTCCTTTCTGATGTTTACTCTTTTACCTCCCAGGGAAGCCTAGATTCTTAGTCCTAACTGCCAAGCGCTTTATAGACTTGGTCCTGTATGGTGAGACAGCTCAGTCTCACACCATTCCTCCTTAGGTACTGGTAGGTTACAGTATTCTGGGAGCCACAGTAATGCACTGCTAGATGGGTTCAAGTCTATGGCATTGATGTTTTTATGCCCCGTGTTTGTCTTGCTAGGCAAGTCAGTATTTGTGAGAATTCTGCCAGATGAAAACCATTGCACCTACGTTATACTATTACAGCCTCTTTAGCTAAAGATAGTGCTGCAATAACCCTTTTACCAGGGAAACATTTACCCTAATGCTGCGCAGGCATCATCACAACCAACAGTGTCTCGGAGTGAAAGGGTTAATTTGCGGGTGCTCAACACTGTATATGTAGGTCGTGTATGAACAGTCTTCTTCTGTCAGACTAGAAACACACAGAAGCATTCTCAGGTGAATATTTATTAACAATATGTCATAAGTTAACTTGCCACACAAGAACGTTAATATTTAGTGATAACTCTAACTGGCCCTGATAGCATCCAGTCACATGTTCGTTCATTTTCCCGGTCTAGACTGGAAAACTATTCATTCATTATCCCTGTCTAGACTGGAAAACTATTCATTCATTATCCTTGCCTAGACTGAAAAACTGTTCATTCATTCAGTTTCTGCATATAGTATTGGATGTAACAAAGGCCAGGTATTGTGGTTTCTTGTGGTAAGCATCTCATGAAAAACAACCATAAATAGCCAAGTGTTTGTAGGAGTTTCATAACACAGTAGACCATATTACCAGGTAGGATCTCAACTTGTGTTCAGACAATATTGTTCATTAGCCAAGTTCCGTAACTGTGTCATGTATCTGGGTCTACACCGTTCTTTTCACTCCCCTGCTGCAGAAGAATTTTTGTTAAACTGTGTACAAAATGTGCTCCCCGATCCAATTGTAAACAATTATCTGATAAGGCTAGGCATCCAGTCCACTATTCTAGGTTCTGCAATATCAAACTGGGGGGGGGTGACTGAGCACTTAAAATAATCGGTATAAATCACACAAGTTACCCCGTCTCACAGCCATGTGATTCCGTAAAGCCCATGAGAATTGGCACAACACAAGAGGGAGCTGGCAAACAATCATGTGCGTAGGCAAGATGGGGTGACTCTCATGATAAGTACCAGATAATCTTCTGGCAAATGTTATGATGGGTTTTATACTCACAGTAATATCAAATAATATAAACAGTATATATATATATATATCTTGCAAATATAACAGCTACCTCACAATAAGTGTCAGTTACCATGAACTCCAGTTCAGTAAATTATGGTTTGTAAAAATGAATTTGAGCACTGAATATAAACAGTATTCATTGACACAGTCCATCGGCACTGATTTGCCAGCTTGTTGGCTGAGTCTAAACACATATGGAAGCCATTTTGTATACAAACTGGCACAGGTGTCCTTGTTGACTCAGCCTAAATGCCCAGTAGAAAATGTTCTGGGAAACAAATGCAGCCGGTGCAATACTCACTATATCACTGATCAATGCTGATTTGTCTATTAAGATATGGGGGCAGTCACCTACCTATTACACCTCAAGACATGGACATCAGATCTTAAACATAGCTATGCTAGATTGCCTTTGGTTTAAAAAAAAGATTCATTGTCAGAATCCTAACTTGCCCCAAATCTCCCTCTAAAACTAAGTTTCAAGTACAATAATACTAGTTAAGTTACATATCACTTAACAGTTTCAAGTTCAGGAATTCTAATGAAATTACATATTTCTAAGGAGAGCCAGAATCTTAACTGGCCTGTAAATAAATAGTAGTGTCTTTTCTATCAGAGGTTCCGGCCATCTCAGCTGCCAGATTTCTCTCCAACACTCTAACCTCCAGTTCCAGTTTTGTGTTCATGAGTTCTAGTTGTTTTGTTTCTAATATGAGTTTCTGTTTTTCAATCAAAAGTTTAGACTTTTGTATCTGTATCAGTTGCTTTGTTGCTGCTAAAAGTTCTGGAGAGGACTGCACTGCTGATCCAATCAGTCGAATTGGAAATGGTAATAGGGCACGATTCATACGGCGTTCTTCTTCATCACTGTCTGAACAGCTGGATTCAGAGTCCAGGGGCGAAGTGTCATTATTAGAATTCTGCTCATTCTCAGACAAACTGCTGTCACTGTCATGTCCATTCTCATCATTGTCCTCATCGTGAGAACTGCCTTCTCGTTTGGCCTGTATGCGAGCAGATTTTCTTGGAGGTGGGTACAAAGAATCATCCCCTGGAGAAAGAATAAACAGTATTTAGTCTGACAGTTAAGAAACTAAGTAAAAGTAAAACAGTGATGTGCATAGGTGCTGATATACTTGGGTGATTTTGTACGGAGTACCTCCCTTGACCTACATGGGGGCGGATGGCATTGGGCTAGCAAAATACTGAGATGGCAATGAACCAGTGAACCTCTGGTTTTACAAAAACATGTTGAAAATTGGTGCAGGCCCGGTTATTATTAAATTAACGCAGTGTATGAGAAGAGATGCCCGACAGATCTTACTATTGTCACCTGGAGGCACCACCTAAGAAATGAGTATCAGAGAAATTGTAGATGCAACACTGTGATTTTTGATTGCATTGAGAAACAGAAAATTAGGTCTCTGATCATCAAATGAGATTGGCTGCAGCAAACTACCATTTTATGTCTACAACCGTATAAGCAAAGCTTACAGAGCATAAGATGGATCAACTTCAACAATGCAGGCTGGCAATGGCCAGTGTAACACATCTGGTACGAGGACATACAAGTATCATGGCATGATCTGAACTGGCACTGTGATTGGTGTGACAGCGGATAGACAAGACAAGGCACATACTAATGTGGCAGCCATTAAGAACAATAATAATGGAGGGTCTGACACAAGAGTGAGATGGGCTTCTGGTCTATATGGAGGATAGGCTTGTTTACTGTTTGCAGTTGTAGCAATTTTTTGCTTCTGACAGTAGTTGGCTGTTGCACTTTCCACCATATACAGACTGGAAAGAATATAGTTTTGTCACCCATCTATTGATCTGAGTGCACTGCACAACATTTTGAGCTGCAGATTTTATTTGGAATGTTTTTGACTGTGACTAATGTGGTTTGTGTTTTGAACAGTAGATTTTATTTGGAATGTTTTTGACTGTGACTAATGTGGTTTGTGTTTTGAACAGTAGATTTTATTTGGAATGTTTTTGACTGTGACTAATGTGGTTTGTGTTTTGAACAGTAGATTTTATTTGGAATGTTTTTGACTGTGACTAATGTGGTTTGTGTTTTGAACAGTAGATTTTATTTGGAATGTTTTTGACTGTGACTAATGTGGTTTGTGTTTTGAACAGTAGATTCAGAAAATGGCGTATTGCCACAGAACTAACTGGTGCCTTATGTGATTAACTGGGTGTGCAACTACTAATTCTATCGATGATGAAACTGCATTTCTAGTATCAGACTGTTTGTGTTAGCACTTCTGATGGTGGCCTTATACGTTTAATGCATGTGTATATGTAAGACTTCAGTTTATGTCTTTTCACCAGGGTCTGTGGTAGACATTGTGTGTGGATTTGATGACACAGGAACGAAAAAACTATGGAATGAACCAATTGTTATTAAGTTTGAACTGCGATTATGTGATTGCAAGAGGGCTGGTTGCCATGACGTCCGACTGGAGATTTCTTTAGCATGAAAACACATGAAGCAGATTAACTGGTAGGGGATTGATACTGTGCAGAGATCTATTCTGACAGGCTGCGGTGAGAACAACATACTGGACAGGAACTACTGCAAAATGATGATCAATAATCCAAATATAAACTTACTATGATTTTTGACATATGCTGCTGGCCCTTTAACATTGACGCTACTTTCATCGTCGTCGTCATCGACTGACATGCCAGACTGCCTTATCCGGGATAGTCTGTACACCTGCTGGCGAGGGGTCATCTGACAAGTAGTAGGGTCAATGCCATGGTTGTGAGTCTCATCTAGGTCAAACAGTACCAGTTTCTGTAAATCTGGCGATAACTTGAACCGGATGTACATCTGGCAGTTCAAACGTTTTTGCCTGTGAACACAGAGACCGGCAGTTTTAGTCGGAGAGGAAGTACAGACACATATTTACTTACAGAAACAGCCCAGTCTTTTTAATACATTGTCTCTTGCCAACTGGCAAAGGTCTAGGACATATCACCAAATGGGCACTGCAATGGGAAATAGAGGGATTGGGGAAATGAGGATGTCCAAGAGAAGCCAAAGCTGCTGGACTTGATTTCATCCATATCCAAGTGACTGCACAGAATGGAGGAATAGACAGTGATTCCTATGTGATGGCACAACAAGATCATGAACAGACACATCATACCCTAATGGCATAACAAGATAATGAACAGACATCATATCCTAATGGCACAACAAGATAATGAACAGACATCATATCCTAATGGCAATAATAATGATGGCACAACAAGATAATGAACAGACATTATACCCTAATGGTAATATCTCTTGTGGGGCTGTTGTGACATTTATTCACAATGCCATGATAAACAACTGTCTACAGTCTTCTCTGTGTGGCAAATCTTGTTTGTTTGTTTGTTACACATAACATCATGTTCTTGCCTACAGTGATGAGTTGCCTTCCTGAATCAAGTCATTGGTAGAAAGTTGTCATCACTGTTCTGTAGTTTCTTTCATGTTTGCCTTCCTGAATCAAGTCATTGGTAGAAAGTTGTCATCACTGTTCTGTAGTTTCTTTCATGTTTGCCTTCCTGAATCAAGTCATCGGTAGAAAGTTATCATCACTGTTCTGTAGTTTCTTTCATGTTTGCCTTCCTGAATCAAGTCATTGGTAGAAAGTTGTCATCACTGTTCTGTAGTTTCTTTCATGTTTGCCTTCCTGAATCAAGTCATTGGTAGAAAGTTGTCATCACTGTTTTGTAGTTTCTTTCATGTTTGCCTTCCTGAATCAAGTCATTGGTAGAAAGTTGTCATCACTGTTCTGTAGTTTCTTTCATGTTTGTCTTCCTGAATCAAGTCATTGGTAGAAAGTTGTCATCACTGTTCTGTAGTTTCTTTCATGTTTGCCTTCCTGAATCAAGTAATTGGTAGAAAGTTGTCATCACTGTTCTGTAGTTTCTTTCATGTTTGTCTTCCTGAATCAAGTCATTGGTAGAAAGTTGTCATCACTGTTCTGTAGTTTCTTTCATGTTTGTCTTCCTGAATCAAGTCATTGGTAGAAAGTTGTCATCACTGTTCTGTAGTTTCTTTCATGTTTGCCTTCCTGAATCAAGTCATTGGTAGAAAGTTGTCATCACTGTTTTGTAGTTTCTTTCATGTTTGCCTTCCTGAATCAAATCATCGGTAGAAAGTTGTCATCACTGTTCTGTAGTTTTTTTCATGTTTGCCTTCCTGAATCAAGTCATTGGTAGAAAGTTGTCATCACTGTTCTGTAGTTTCTTTCATGTTTGCCTTCCTGAATCAAGTCATTGGTAGAAAGTTGTCATCACTGTTTTGTAGTTTCTTTCATGTTTGCCTTCCTGAATCAAGTCATCGGTAGAAAGTTGTCATCACTGTTCTGTAGTTTCTTTCATGTTTGTCTGCCTGAATCAAGTCATTGGTAGAAAGTTGTCATCACTGTTCTGTAGTTTCTTTCATGTTTGCCTTCCTGAATCAAGTCATTGGTAGAAAGTTGTCATCACTGTTCTGTAGTTTCTTTCATGTTTGCCTTCCTGAATCAAGTCATCGGTAGAAAGTTGTCATCACTGTTCTGTAGTTTCTTTCATGTTTGCCTTCCTGAATCAAGTCATTGGTAGAAAGTTGTCATCACTGTTCTGTAGTTTCTTTCATGTTTGCCTTCCTGAATCAAGTCATTGGTAGAAAGTTGTCATCACTGTTTTGTAGTTTCTTTCATGTTTGCCTTCCTGAATCAAGTCATTGGTAGAAAGTTGTCATCACTGTTTTGTAGTTTCTTTCATGTTTGCCTTCCTGAATCAAGTCATTATCATTGTTCTATAGTTTCTTTTGTGTTTGTCTCCCTGAATCAAGTCATTATCACTGTTCTATAGTTTCTTTCATGTTTGTCCCTATGGCCAGATTTGACTTCTGAAGTTAGCAGACAGAGGGCACATTTGAAATGTATTCTGGTACAGACAAAACCTTTTGGCAAGTGTGTTGGTCAGTTAATGCAACTTTCATTTCCTAGAAGTAACTGTACTTACTGCAGAAATGTAATGCGCCACAGGCCCTTCATCTGCAGACACTGTGCCCAGCTCTCATGGTCCTAGACTCTTCCTGGCACCCATTGGACTTATAGGTCACCTCCAGACTCACAAACATTCAAGTGCAGATTCATGACGGATGAAAGAAAGACTCTCTCTCATCATTTGTGACGGATGAATGAATATGTAATATCTGTGCCTCTGACTGGACACATCCAGCATCTGTAAGGCTATGTAGGTATCGCTGCCAGCGGACCCTGCTTTAGTATTACTACTCACTGTCGCTGCTCAGCTATAGTGAAAACTGACTCTGCTGAATTATTACTACTTACTGTCACTGCTCAGCTACAGCGACAACAACTCACCCTGCTGAAGTATTACTACAACTTTCCCTGCTTAACTACAATGACAACAACTGACCCTGCTGAAGTATTACTACAACTTTCCCTGCTTAACTACAATGACAACAACTGACCCTGCTGAAGTATTACTACAACTGTCCCTGCTTAACTACAATGACAACAACTGACCCTGCTGAAGTATTACTACAACTGTCCCTGCTCAGCTACAGCGACAACAACCTACCCCACATTCTTGACTCTGGTACCAGGCTTCTGTTTGAGTTCTCCATGACATTTACAGCAGTAAGTGATGGAGTGATACATTAAGCTCTGGTTGACCAAGTGATACACCTTGGGGATGATCTGAAATTGTGGACGGTCAACATGATGATTAGTACCTTATAATGATCTAACTTCTCTCAGATGGTGTAATTGACTCTTATATTTTCTAAGTTTATCATATGGTGTCCATTCTTCCCCCTTCTACTTAATGTCCATGCCATGTGGCGTTGGTAGTCATGTCTGTCCACAACCATCTGTCCTCATGTACTTTCAGTCAACTCTGACGCAGATGATCCTTCATGCCATGTGGCGTTGGTAGTCATGTCTATCCACAACCATCTGTCCTCATGTACTTTCAGTCAACTCTGACACAGATGATCCTCCATGCCATGTGGCGTTGGTAGTCATGTCTATCCACAACCATCTGTCCTCATGTACTTTCAGTCAACTCTGACACAGATGATCCTCCATGCCATGTGGCGTTGGTAGTCATGTCTGTCCACAACCATCTGTCCTCATGTACTTTCAGTCAACTCTGACACAGATGATCCTTCATGCCATGTGGCGTTGGTAGTCATGTCTATCCACAACCATCTGTCCTCATGTACTTTCAGTCAACTCTGACACAGATGATCCTCCATGCCATGATGTCAAACTCCTGCATCTGTTTTTTCGGTCTCCCTCTGCCTCTCCCCCTCCCCCACTCAAGCTTTCCTACTGTCACGATGTACTCCAGTTTTCTCCTTCTCATCACATGACCGAGGAATGTAGATTGTCTCTCTCTGATGTGGGCAATCAGTTCTCTTCGTGGTTCAGTTTCTTCCAAGACGTCTTTATTATTCTTTTTATCTGTCCAGGGTATTCTCCATCATTCGTATATAAAACCATATCTCCATCTCTAGTAATTTCTCAGTGCTCAAATAGTGTCTTTTACTCTCACAGTAATTTCTCAGTGGTCACATGGTGTCTATTACTTTCACAGTAATTTCTCACTGGTCACAGGGTGTCTGTTATTCTAACAGTAATTTCTCAGTGGTCACATGGTTTCTGTTACTCTCTCAGTAATTTCTCACTGGTCACATAGTGTTTGTTATTCTGACAGTAATTTTTTAGTGGTCACACAGTGTATATTATTCTCACAGTAATTTTTCACTGGTCACAGGGTGTTTGTAATTCTAACAGTAATTTTTCACTGGTCACCTATTACTCTCACAGTAATTTCTCACTGGTCACCTATTACTCTCACATTAATTTCTCACTGGTCACAGGATGTCTATTACTCTCACAGTAATTTCTCACTGGTCACAGGGTGTCTATTATTCTGACAGTAATTTGTCAACTTAATTTCTGTAAACTTTGAAAGTTACTAGTCTATTATTGGCCGAGATCTCTAGAGGTCATCACTAGTGTTAGCCCTGGATCTCTCTTTGTGACACTTGACAGGCAGCTAGTTTGGAAAGGGTGGGGGGGGGGGGGGGGCGTTTGGAAACTGAATTGAACCAGAAGGGATGAAACTAAGTGTGTCCCCTTGCCTGGTTATATTCCATATCACATATGTAAGGATTATGCCAACCCCGTATTCCAATCTGGTCTGCTGTTTTAGATTTTATCTTCATGCCATATAGTTTAGGCCTGCTCCAGACAGCGTGCAGCGGCGTGGGAGACTCTCAGCGGGTGCGGTAGTCGCCGGAAGTAACAATTTACATGTGATTGAGGCCCTGTTAGGGTATATTTTTGGCCTCTATAATTTGGGACCATTATTCAGAGGATAGCCGGTTCTTCTTATCAGAAATTCCTCTTATCTGGATACGAGTTTGAGCAGAAAAATTGCAGTGGAAAAGCAAATTGTTCTTCACAACAGAAATTCGTCACATGCAAAGATCACCTTAAGCGGTGTGCACTGTACCCAGCTCAATGTGGATTGCAACCTTAGATCTTTAGTGTGGTACCTGAGTGTCTTTAGTCACTCAACTACCACAACTGGGTTTTCTCTTGATGCTCACAATCTTGTGGTTAATCTCTCTAATCGACCTCACAAAGCAGAACATGCATACCTTGCGTGTTGACTCTGCTTTCAGCAGCTTTGAATCTTTCACAATCAGCTGAACAGACTTCTCCTTCTGGTATCTTTCTATAGCACTTCGAAGCTCCAGGAATGAGGCAAACTCTGCGTGCAGCTCGATTTTCTGAGTACATTCTGTCTTGATTGCATCATGCTCCTCAGGTTTTGGCATTGAGTTGACTGTCATGTCCGTGGCTTCATTGGCTTCGGCCATGATCAGTCAGTTCTGGTGGAAACATGAAAGAAATAACATAGTGACACTTTCAAACAAGGATTATGTATGGCTGTTGGTTTGCCAGGTTTCAGTTCATTTTAGCTCTAGTTAGTTACATTGTTTGGTCTCTTTATTGAAGATAAGCAGAAATAACTGGCTTTAACTGTACAAAGAGAAGGAATATTCTGCAACAAAATATGAGAAAACAGTCACATCCTTTGATCTTCCTGTAGAACATTGGCCCTCAACCAACTCAGTTCTCTGTAAGTGTGACCACAATTCATTTAGTTAGATCTGTCACTGTCTGTCATTAGTATCATGCATCAGCTGAAGTTTCCGAGAGCACCTAGCCAGTTACATGTTAGCTCACCTTAGCACAGCCGCCACTTATGACATGCATGGTAGGTTACCAGTGGCTGTCCTGTATCCCACCATGGGCCCCAGGAATGCGCACTAGATTCTAGTCTTGGTTTTAACTTAAAGTTGACTTGAAGCAATTGTTAAGATTAAGATTGTTAAAATGTAAATCTTGTGTGACTGTTTAAAGTCGGTTACTGGAAAGCAAATTTAGCAGACATTACACTAGCAGAACAATTATACATTTATATCTGGGTTCCCGATTATTATTAGCATTGATTAAAAAAAAAAAGTATAAGAAGAAAAGGGGCCGAAAATCTAAGAAGAAAAAAAATAATTTACTTAGTAATTCACTAGTTTGTTTAAATTTTTTGCTCGTAACCGTAAGTTACGGCGTAACCGTAAATTATCAACCAGCCTGAAGAATCTCGTACTTTGGGTTTATCCTTTATATTATGCGATCGTAAATTATCACGCATTTGAGCTAGAAAACGACTGGTGCGGGTAGGAAAGACGACGGGGGCTGATGAAGTTTCGCTTTGATCAATGTTGACATTCCGTGAAGTTTCGAGCTCAGCGAGTTCACAACTAAAACCGTAGAGACAACATGGCCGCATCGGCCCGGATGTGCCAGGTCAGCGGCCGCGCTTGCTGCCAGCTTCGGCTAAATTAATCAATCCGATGTCTACAATCAATACAATTAATGCGAGTACACATGTTTGGTGTTACCTTTCCTTTAAAGTTAATAAAGCAGACTGAGATCGTGCTGCATTCCAATACATGGTTTTTACAACACTCATCAGATTATCACATTTCCAGCTTCACAGCATACGGTTATAACCCACCCCTGTGCTAGCGACATAATACAGAATGCCATCGCTGACCTTAGGGAAAACATTTGAAACAGACTGCAGACTTGGCGTCGCCAATCCATTAGCATACATTCGCACTCTACACTGCTGCTCAAGCTTTGTGCTTTGGAGTCTGGCCAGCTCACTACACTCAGAGGAAAAGCAAGAGGGACACATAACCAGATTGTGACCAATACAATCAGTATTGGAACTTTGCGCTGGCTGCTGAATATAAGGACGGAGCACACATGGGAATGCCACGAGTGCTGTGATATCAGTTCTTGACTCAACTCAACTTTGTGCTTTGGAAAACAGAACTGAATCTCTGGTCTTGTCTGGTATCATCCGGGAAGAACTGAATCTCTGATCTTGTCTGGTATCATCCGGGGAGAAGTGAATCTCTGGTCTTGTCTGGTATCATCTGGGAAGAAGTGAATCTCTGGTCTTGTCTGGTATCATCCGGGGAGAAGTGAATCTCTGATCTTGTCGGGTATCATCCGGGAAGAAGTGAATCTCTGGTCTTGTCTGGTATCATCCAGGGAGAAATGAATCTCTGGTCTTGTCTGGTATCATCCAGGGGAGAATTGAATCTCTGGTCTTGTCTGGTATCATCCGGGGAGAAGTGAATCTCTGATCTTGTCTGGTATCATCCGGGAAGAAGTGAATCTCTGGTCTTGTCTGGTATCATCCGGGGAGAACTGAATCTCTGATCTTGTCTGGTATCATCCAGGGGAGAACTGAATCTCTGGTCTTGTCTGGTATCATCCAGGGGAGAACTGAATCTCTGGTATCATCCGGGGAGAAGTGAATCTCTGATCTTGTCTGGTATCATCCAGGGGAGAACTGAATCTCTGGTCTTGTCTGGTATCATCTGGGGAGAACCTGGTATCATCCGGGGAGAACTGAATCTCTGGTCTTGTCTGGTATCATCCAGAGAAGTGAATCTCTGATCTTGTCTGGTATCATCCAGGGGAGAACTAAATCTCTGGTTTGTCTGGTATCATCCGGGGAGTACTGAATCTCTGGTCTTGTCTGGTATCATCCAGGGCTGTTATTTTAATACCCTACCACCAACAGCACAATGGAACTGTCGTCGGTAAAGACGGAGAGGTACCAGCAAATAAAAAGACATTATTATTTTTAAAGGCAGCCTTCTTTTACCTCTAGTGATACAACTACATAGGAGAAATCATCTAGAAACATGGCTTTTTGTAGAATGATGTCAGCTCCATGTCAGTATATAGTTACATTGAGGATATAAACATGAAAGCTTACTCACTAGAATAGAGCCAAGACATGACACATGTAGGCTTTTTTTCCCTCCAAATTTTATTTTTAAATTACCAGTTCACAAGAAATGTGTTCTGGGAGGTATCTGACAGGACCCTCTTCCACACCTTTAGGGGTATTGGGCATATAGGGCTAGATATATATTTTATAAATCAGTCGACACTGGGTGGGTGAAGTGGTCAGCATCACGCCTGCTGCTTTTACTTCCCCGGGCTGTACCTGGTACCCACTGAAGGCTGGGTCGACTTGAGAGCCAAGATCAATTTTGGACTTGTTCTGTTTTCAAGTATCTGCCATAGTTTCCCAAAATAGGCCCTAAATAATATCCTCAGCTAGAATGAGAGTCTTGTGGCCAGTCAGAGTACAGACAAGACTGGCCTTTGATTTCTGTGGATTTGGACAGTTATGACCAAGTTCCAGAAGAAGTTGTCATGGCTATGCATTTTTATTTTACATGAATAAATGTCGATTTTTGTATCTGGGGGAAAAACATAAGACAAGTTCTGGTGCTTTTATTTTAGTGCAAAAATGAATATAAGACACACGTCTCATTTTTAGGGAAACACTCAAGTTAATAGAGAAAGAGATGTCTTCACAGACAGTAGTCTTTACTGGCCACTGTCTTCACTGGCCACTGTCTTTACTGCCACTGTCTTTACTGGCCACTGTCTTTACTGGCCACTGTCTCTACTGGCCACTGTCTTTACTGCCACTGTCTTTACTGCCACTGTCTTTACTGGCCACTGTCTTTACTGCCACTGTCTTTACTGGCCACTGTCTTTACTGCCACTGTCTTTACTGGCCACTGTCTTTACTGGCCACTGTCTTTACTGCCACTGTCTTTACTGCCTTTACTGGCCACTGTCTTTACTGGCCACTGTCTTTACTGCCACTGTCTTTACTGGCCACTGTCTTTACTGGCCACTGTCTTTACTGGCCACTGTCTTTACTGCCACTGTCTTTACTGCCACTGTCTTTACTGGCCACTGTTTTTACTGGCCTCTGTCTTTACTGGCCACTGTCTTTACTGCCACTGTCTTTACTGGCCACTGTCTTTACTGGCCACTGTCTTTACTGGCCACTGTCTTTACTGGCCACTGTCTTTACTGGCCACTGTCTTTACTGCCACTGTCTTTACTGGCCACTGTCTTTACTGCCTTTCCTGGCAGCTGTTAAGAAAAAAAAATATTAAAAAATAAAATAAATTGTAGCATAAATAAATGTCAGCGTTTTTCTTGTCTTTCTCAGACTGACATTATCATAGAGGACTGCATTGTGTTCACAGATCCTTATGAAGAGGCAGATGAGCAGGTAAGCTCTGGCATAGCTTTGATTGGATCACAAGGTTTTTAGAGACAATTATTATCAGTTTTTAGAGTTTGTAGTTCTTGTAAAGGTTGTCTGAATGAAAGATCAATGGAAAACTTCTACATTGTTTTCTAAAGCAGACCTTTCTTAAAGATAAGATTAGAGATGACCATGTGCCATGTCAAACTTCATAAATAAATAAATGTGTGTTTCTTTTTCTGAATTTTTCTTGTGTTTCTTTTTCTGAATGTTTCTTGTGTTTCTTTTTCTGAATGTTTCTTGTCTGTAAAATCCGACAGGAAGTTTGAACTGTGGTCTTGTTCCAGAACTTGAGTTTTGCGTACACATCCGTTTTACAGATTTGGCTTTTTTGTGTGCAGACTGTTGGTTCATCACCTCTCAGGCAAATGCACTCCAGCTTCGAAGGAAACACTACTAATTAGTTGCCTCTTATGACATGCTTGTTAGCAAGGTGGTGTGTGTGGGCGTGCGTGTGTATGGCCAGAATGGAGCCCCAGAACCCACTCTGGGAGTTTATGTTTAACAATTTGCCATTTTTGTTGTTTAGTTTTATTTCTGAGGATTAGTCATGACCCAGTTCTGTCCAACAATTTGATTGCAGCTGAAGAAAGAACGTGAGGAAGAGATTGAGAGGCAGAAGGCTGAGGAGGCGGAGAAGAGAAAAAAGGCAAATAAAAAGACAGACATGGGCCCCAAAATTTTTAAGCAAGGCATTGGGAAGTACATCAATGCTTCAGCAGTGTAAGTATATATATGTGATTGTTCGTTCTTTCTCTTTTGCAGAATAAAGTGTTCCGGGTTTTGGTTCTTTTGGCCACCTCAGCATAGGTGCATCATACTGTTGTAGAATGTCTGTGATGTTATCTTTTTCCATGTTGTTCTTGGTCTACCTCATGATCTACGTCCCTCTCTTTTTGTTGTTGGGATGTATGTGTTGAAAGATCTAACACAAGGTATTCTCTCCAAGCCAGAAAACCATTTTATTTGCTCTCTCTGTGTGTAGTTTACTATTGGTTCTGTGCCGACTGTTTCTTGTAGGACTTTATTTCTGATATTGATCTATCCGGCAGCCTTTCTCATTTCCATGGCTACTAATTGTTTGTTTTCTTTAAGGTTTGCTTCGAGACTATATCTGGCACTGACAGTGTAGGCTGAGGATGGGTTTGCTTTGTG